TTTGGTCAATGATCCCCGCCCCCCGCCCCCCACATACCTGTGAATGGTACCTGATTTGGTTCTTCTAATTTTTATGATCTTTACTATTCAGATCAGACATCTGTCAGGTTGTGTGTGTGTGTGTGTGTGTGTGTGTGTGTGTGTGTGTGTGTGCGCGCGTGTGTGTGTGTGTGTGCGCGCGCGCGTTATATGGTATAAGAGACCAGACTAAACCTGATTTTTTTGCCAAACTGCTTTCCATTTTCCCCAGCAAGTAATTTATATTTACCTACCTAAAAACTTACATATGCAATGGAAAGAGTCTTAGATTTGTAATCAAAGGGTTCAAATCCTACCTATGCCACTTACTTGGGCTATGTTGGCTCAGAGTGAGTGTATATAGCAATTGTGTCTGCTTTGGCCAGAAACCCTAAGGGTCTTCCCCTCCCAGATTGATTTTTTTTTAACTAGGTAAAAGAGGCCATTCTTTGCCTCATTTCTTACCTAACCTTAATCACTGAATGGGAGTTGCCTCAGGCAAACTGAGACCTTAACTTAAAAAGGTCAAAGTCTCCCACTGCATCCAGGGCCATCTCCAGTTGTCCTGATCTGTATCTTGTCACTGGACCCAGATGGCTCCAGAGAAGAAAGTGAGTCTGGTGACTTTGCACAGCCCTCCTTCACTTAAATCCAATTCACTTGTAAGTCATGACATCACCTTTCTGATGTTATGGTCCTCTTCAAGAATGAAGGAGAAACAGTAATCTGTGAGTAGTAGGAGCTGCCCCACTGAGGACCCAACTGGCTAGTTCCAGTTGGGCAGCACACTTCCTTCCTTCCTTCCTTCCTTCCTTCCTTCCTTCCTTCCTTCCTTCCTTCCTTCCTTCCTTCCTTCCTTCCTTCCTTCCTTCCTTCTCTCCCTCTGTCCACATAGGGAATCATATCTTTACCTGAATGCTCTGCTCAAAGGAGTATAAATTTTGATCCCAGAAACTTCACAAGACATCTTGGGGTTTATGGGCTAGATTTCTTTTTTAAGGACCATGCCTTAAACCCAGATCACTCTGGCTCTCATTGATTGGCCAATAATAGGTCCCAGCCCAAGTCTCACTTGGCCATTATTTGGGCTGTGATGGCTCAGAGTGAGTGTAAATAAAAATTGTTTCTGTTCTGGCCAGAAACTCTGAGGGTCTTCCCCTCCCAGATAGATTCTTTTTAAAATAATTTTATTTATTTAGTTTTAGTTTTCAACATTCACTTCCATAAGATTTTGAGTTCCAAATTTTTTCCCCATCTCTCCCCTCCTCCCACCCCAAGATGGCATGCAAATTGATATAGGCTCAACATATACAGTCATATTAAACTTATTTTCACATTAGTCGTGTAGTAAAGAAGAATTAGAACCAATGGGAGAAACCACGAGAAAGAAGAAACAAAGAGAGAAAGAGAGAGAGAGACAGAGACAGAGAGAGAGAGAAGAAATAATATGCTTCAATCCATTCAGACTCCATAGTTCTTCTTCTGGATGTGGATACCATTTTCCATCTTCAGTCTTTTAGAGTTGTCTTAGATCCTTTCATTGCTAAGAAGAGACAAGTCTATCCAAGTTAGTCATCATACAATGTGACTGTTACTGTCTACAATATTTTCCTGGTTCTGCTCACTTGACTCAATATCAGTTCATTTCCAGATTGATTCTTTTGTGAATACAAACTTAGACCATCTTTTGCCTCAATTCTTACTTAGCCTTAAATTATTGAATGGGCGTTGTCCAAGACAAACTGAGCCCTGAGAGAGACCTTAGCTTAAAAAGGCCAAGGTCTCCCACTGCATCCAGGGCCATCACCAGTCTCCCTGACCTGTCTTACTACTGGACTCCAATGAGAGAGTGAGGCTGGTGACTTTGCACAGTTCTCCCTTACTGTAATTTAATTTACTTGCAAGTCATGACATCACCTTCCTGATGTCAAGGTCATCTTCAAGGATAAAGGACAAACAACAATGCCACTTACTACCACTATGTTCTTGGACAAGTCCTTTACTCTCTTGGACTCATCTGTAAAATGTGGGATTTGAACTAAATGATGTCTAAGTCTTCTGAACTTTCAGTTTAAATCATAAAGATCTACTTGTAAATACCAACTTGCCCCTCCCCTTCATTTGTTCCTATTGATTAGAAAACTCAATGGGATTCTGACATAGTAGCCTCAGAAGTTACCTTGAACTTTGGCTACATTGACACAAAATGAAGAAAGTGAAATGTGTGTATGTGTGTGTGTTTGGATGTGCATTGTATATGTATATATGTATGTGTACATATACATATCTACATCTATATATATATCGATACAGGTATCGATACATATCTTACTCTTCTTTGTCACAGCACATTTGAAATATTGTGTTAGGTTCTGGTAGACACATCTTAGAAATAACATTCCCAAACTAGAGAGTTTCCAGAGGAATTAGAGTTAATTGAAGGGGTTTGAGATCATATCACCTAACTTGAGAGGACTAAGGACACTTTGCCTAGAGAAGACTTATTTGTTATTATTTTTTAGTCTTTTTTCAGGTGTGCCTCCATTTGGGGTCTTCTTGGTGAAGAAGTGGAGTGGTTTGCCATTTCCTTCTCCAGCTCATCTTACAGCTGAGGAAACTGAGGCAAACAGTGTCACACAGCTAATAAATGTCTGAGGCCTGAGTTAATGTAGGTCTTCCTGACTTGAGCTCCAGCTCTCTACCCACTGCACCACCTAACTGCCCACTGTCCTTTGCGTCAGCAAACTAAAATTACACCAACATTTAAAACCCCATTCTTAGCAGTCTCGCGTGGACCGGTGTGATTAATGGAAAAAAGAGAAGGAAATTGCTAATACCATTTCTCTATCTCTTTGAAAATTCCAAGTAGGTTAGGTTCTCCAAGTATAAATCTGAGAGTGGGTGAGAGAGGAGAGTTACAGAACTAAGGTCCTCCTCTCTCTTCCCTTCCTCCCAAAATAGCATGAAAGGAGGGTATACCTGGAGCCCAGTGATTGCAAAGGTGAAGAGTCCAAAGCATTGTCAGCTGACTGGGAAAGCCCACAAATCAGAACACTCCATAGGGTAGTTGGTTAAAGCCTTTTGCAGTAGCATCGACACCTGGTTAAAGTTTGTAAAAGGCAAAGAACTTTAAATAAACCCTTGAAGGACCTTCAGCTGGAAGTATAACAGTTCAAGAGGAATTAAACCAGTTCCACTTGACTGTCTTGTAGATTCTCATCTCATCTGCTGAAGGTAAATTCTAATTTAGATTAAGTAGTGATTGATAACAGTTCAAGATGAGTAAGAGAGGCACTTGATTGGCTAAACCTAAGTGTTAAGTGTGATTTTTATCAGCTTCAATGGAGAACTCACTTTTGGCTGTCAACAAGAATTTATTAAGCATCACTGTGCCAGGCACTGTGCTTAGCCCTGGAGAAACAAAGAATAGCAAAAAACATAGGTCCAGGCATAAAGCAACTCAATAACGCCTTTCAATGTGTTCTCAGTGTGTTTAATGTGTATTTTAATAGTGGTTGATGACACCGGTTAATATGTGCAGTAAGCTGTGGTAATAAAGAGCATTATTTCCCTATATAACAACTTACTTTCTATATGTAACTACCACAAGTCAAGGTATTCATCATGGAAGCTGTTGTATAGTGAATAGAATGCTGATTTTGAAGTCAAGAAGACCTCAGTTCAAATCCAGTTTCTGTGTGACCCTGGGCAGGTCACTTAATTCCTCCACAGGACTTCTCTACTCTAAGTTACAGACTTGGTAGAAGAATTTCCCTAAACTCCACAATTCACAACTATTTTCCAAGTATTCACATAATAATAATTCTTATTTATAGAGGGTGTCCCAAAAGTCTTAATGTAGTTTAAATCTATTTAAGCTTAATAATAATTAGCTTGTTTAATGCTTTAAGAATAATAAAAAACGTTTTCCTCACAATAATCATGTAAGGTAGGCAAATATAAATATTAATATCCCCATTTTGCAGACGGAGAAACAAATACAGAAAGGTTAAGCAACTTGGCCAGGGTAACTAACACAGCTGGTAAAGAATGACAGCTTTCCTAGCAGTCTGTCTCCCCCCACCCCACCTCTTGCCCCCTGCCTACCCCATCTAGACTTAAGAAAGTGATGGAGAAAACATTAATGACACAGATTAAACTTTAAAATGTGTTTAGCGTACATTTTTCCACCCCAGGGAGTCAATCATTAAACATTTATCAGCACTCTCCTTTTTCTTTTTCTGGCTCTAACATCCTTAAATGGGTATCACCTTAGGCAAGTCACTTCCTCTCATCTGGCCTCGGCTTCCTCCTCTGTAAAATGAGGAAATTGGGCCAGACAACCTCTAAGACCTCTTTGCCTAGAAATTCTAGAACTCTGTGACTGAAAGATGGAATTTTCCTGCCTCTCCAAATACATACTCTTGCGTTAGTAGGAGTCTCACTTCTGGAATCATCTCTCATCCTACGAACTATCTAATGCCCCAGAAAGCAATCTGGCCATGACTTTGCACAAGTGACCTCAAAGCTCTGGGCCTGGGAGTCCTCATCTATAAAATCAGGGAGGTTTGACAATTTAGATTCAATGTCGTTAAAAACAACAAAAAGCATACAAATTGACGGAAGCTTATCAATTCTTTACCATGACACTTCTTCATCTTTAAATATCAATGATGAACAATTAATTGGTCTTTTAAATTCAGGATGGTTTCCAGTTTCTTCCCTGGAGATGTCAAAGAAAAGACCCTCCTCCTGTGATCCAATTTAAGGACCACTCTACCTAGAGAAAGGGGAGAGGACTAAATGATCCCTGAATGTTTCCTCACAGATCTTGCTATTCATTCCTTCTGTGTGACCCTGCAAAGTGAACAAGTTTATGTGTGAGCATAGGGCAGCCAGCCAGCTTTGCTTTCTCATTGTTTTTTCCTCTTTCTACCTCCTGGAAATCCGATTCAAAGTTAGGAGGCATCACTTGACTTAAAGTATCCCCCACTGAATTTCTCTGCCATTGCCCAGCCCTCTTTTGGGGGGTTGGCCTACGTTACATTCTTCTGACATTTTACTTCGAGAGAGGAAAAGTAAAGAAAGGGGCATCGGCCGAACAAGTTGAACCACTCAGTGGAAGAGGGATTGCAGATAAGAAGAAACTGAAGGACTTCCCATAGGCGTGAGGGAAATTGCATACGCCATCCGGAGAAGGGGGCCAGGAAATGGCTTCTTGTTTTCCAGACAGCTCCTGAGCTCTCTTTGATGGCACTGTGAAAGCTGGAGGACTGGCTGCACAGCCAGGGGAGACACCCAGTTGAAAACTGGTCTTTTGCTGGAGGAGCGTTTTACTGCTGAAAGGTGTAGTCATGAGCCCTACCAGATATTCCTATTGTCAGTGATTTCCTCTGGGCAGGAAGCAAAGCAAATAGACATCTTAGTCGAAAAGAGGACTTTGACCAACACCAGTGGAGATTAAGAAACTCATTTGTCCCAGCGACAGTGTTGGACAGGTAAAGTGAATTTGTCTTTTTCTTCTCAAGAGAACCTAAGACGGATCACAGTATTGATGGATCATAGAATGTAGAGTTAGAAGGGTTATTAGAGATCATTTCATCAAACGCCTTCATTTTATGGAGGAGGAAACTGAGGCAGAGAGAGGGAAATGATTTCCCCGTGATCACGTCGCTTATTAATAAGGAGAAGGCTCAGCAGAAAGCTGAGCAGAAAAAGTCACTCATTTTAGAAATACTTCCCCTTTGATTTGCCTGTTGGTCTTAATTAATTTTGTTATGATATCTATGGGAGGAATGAAAACTATTTGAGCCTACTACACATATGACAGGCAGCAAACTACAATGGATAAAGTGATGTGCCTGGAGTTGAGTTCAAATCTTACCTCAGATCCATAATGGTTATGAGATCACAGGAAAATTATTTAGTAGGAGAGTTAAGCTACTCCCTAGGACTATTAGTTATAGTCAAGTTTGCTCTGTCTGCAGTTTCAACACTGGGGAATCCTTATACCAATGAAATCATAAGTCTAGAGTGTACTGCATTTCCTGTCTGTGAGACGGTACTTGTGGTGATTTATCCTTTTGGGATTTTCTTTAGACTGACTAAATAGTCAAGTGAATAGGAAATGAAGGGATTTTGATCATAGTATTACAGACCTTGAGCTGGGAGGGACTTTAAGGGCCAGTCTAGTCCAACTCTCCCATTTTACAAATGAGGAAACAAAGGGAAATAATGACTTAACCAAGATCACTCAGATTGTAAGTAGTAGGGGTAGGATTTGAAACCCAGGTTTTCTGATTCTGGAACCAGGGCTATTTCTACTGTATCACCCTGATGTTGAGGGTTTCTCAGCAGGTCAGTGGCATGACAACCAGGCTACTGGCTGGGGTCTAGAGGAAGATGAAGTATTTGCAGAAACAGAAGGACCCAAGGTCAGTTCTGTAATTCAGTCCTGAGACAAGGGACGAGACTTGGGAAGAAAGTTCCATCCAAGAAAAGTGGCTTGTCTAAAATATCAAATGCAAGCTAGAGCTATTCACCTTTGACTAAATAGAGAAGGTGTGTATAGATTGCAGTGAAAAGGGGGCTAGGAATTTTTGGAAACTCGTGACCATTGCCTCTGGTGGAACTAGTCTGACTTCTTTGTTGATTTTTTGCCCTCTTTTTCTTGTTCTTTGTTAAGACTTGACTAAGTCTTCTGAAGGAATGCTGAACTTGAGTCAGAGAATATGAGTTCAAATCCTGTCTCTGCCACTTGGGTCAGTTACTTAACCTCTGTTTCATTCTCATCTGTAAAATGAGAAGGCTATACTGCAAAACCTTAAAGGTCTTTTCTAACACTAGATCCTGGCTCATTCATTTATGTGTGTAGATATATGAATGTACGTATGTCTATATGTGAAAATAGTTTGTATGTATAATTAATATATACATATGTGCATGTATACATGTATATGTATATGTATACAAACTGCTTTTGTATTCTTCACAAAACCTATCATGGGATTGGGCACACAATGATGCTTGTAATTTCATTGTTCTATTATGTCAGATATGAGATTTGAACCTGGGTTTTCTTTACTTTTGTTCTTTATCCATTAAGGCAGGTACATGCAATATTATACATACTTGTATCCAATAATATACATTCAACAATAGATATGCTAGTGACTTCAGCTTTCTCCTTGCCTGATTTTCTTTGAAGGCCTTGAGTCTTAATCTTGCACTGAAAAATACCATCATCAACACTGATAATGATAGCTCACATTGATCCTCCCTTCATCATTATGAATAATAACTCATATTTATAGAGAGTTTTAAAGTTTACAAGGCATTTTCTTACATAAGTCTTGTGAGGTAGATATTACAAATATTATCATCCCTATTTTACAGATAAAGAAACTGAGGCTGAGAGATGTGAGATGACTTGTCTGTAGTCATGAAACTAATAAAAGAGAGTACAAGACTCCATGTCCAGAGGGGATTAATTTATCATAGCAATCACTTTCCATTGTTAACTTTTTGGATGCCATTTTGAGAAGAAAACTCAAGAACCCAGTAAAGCAAGTGGATGGGAGACATTTAGATAACTGAGTCTCTTCTTATTTGACTTAGGGGTAGGAAGGATTGCAATAAGACAGATTCAAAACCTACTTCAAAGGGCTAGGAAAGATTAAAAAAAAAAGTCAGTCACTAATATTGAAATATGTTTTGCATGACTGCTCGTGTATATCAAATTGATTGCATTATTAATGAGGGGGAAGAAGAGGAAGGAAGGGGAGAGAATCTGAAACTCAAAATTTTTAAAAATGAATGTTAAAAATTATTTTTATGTGTAATTGGGGAAAAATAAAATATTAAAAATTTTCAAAGTCAGTCACATTTTGCCTCAGCTCCTTTTCTACTAGTCTATAACATTGTTTGTTGTTATTTGTCCTTCGTTCCTGAAGAGGACCAATGACATCAGGACGGTGATGTCTTGACTTGCAAGTAAATTGGATTTAAATGAAGCAGAGCTCCTCCAGAGTCATGAGAGTGCAGTGGCAAGACATAGGTTAAGAGGACTGGTGATGGCCCCAGAAGCTATGGGAGACCTTGGCCCTTTTAAACTAAGGTCTTTCCCAGGTCTCAGTTTGTCTAAGGCAACACCCATTCAGTGGCTAAAGGCTAGGTAAGAACTGAGGCAAAAGAAGTCTAGTTTGCCTTCACAGAAGAATTAATCTGGGAGGGGAAGATCCTCAGAGTTTCTGGCCAGAACAGAAACAAACCATTCCATAATATAGACAGGATTAAAAGAACTACTGGACAAAGGGACCTCCCTGTAAGGGAACTTACTTGAGCTAAATCATAATCTCTTTTTTATGTGATTTTACACACTCAATACTACTCAATGAGCTGTGGAACACCCTGCATCACCTGCTCCATAATTTTACCAAGGGCCACCAAAACATCAGTTTCAAACTTTGACAAGAACTATTTGGTGGAGGACAGCCTAAGCAGGAAGAAGTCTTTTCAGCCCCACCCAGGACTAACACTGTTGGTAGCTTTTTAAAAGGAGAGAGAGCCCTATGTTCTGCACTGACTTCATCTTTGGCTCTTTGGATCCATTACTTGCAGATTTTACCAGATCAGATTAAATGTTCTTTGTAAACAGGATATGATCAAAGAGTGCCAAATGATTCTCGTATAACAAATTAAACCCAAGGTCATCTCGGAAAAATTTTCATCTGAAGTGCGAGGACCTGAGTTTGAATCTCAGCTCTGCTAACAACTACCTTTGTGACTGCAGGCAAGTCATCACATTTCAGAGCCTTGATTTTCTTATCTGTAAAATGAAGGGGTTGAATTAGATGATCTCTGAGATACCTTCTAGCCCTAAATTGATGACCCTATAATTTATGAATCCTTCTAATCCTGCATATTGGTGGAAGCATTTTTTATTGCAAATTATCCCGATGGTGTGTCTATGCAACTTGAATTCTCTAGCTAAATGACAGCTCATCACTTGATATCCTAATGCACAGACCTGGCCGTGCAAAGAATATTGGAGATGGGGATTTGTTCATTCACTTAATAAGCTTTTACTGAGTGCTTACTATTTGCAAAACTCCATACAGCGGAGTGCATAAAGTATAGAATCATAGACCTTCAGGACTAAAAGAGCACTTACCCATCATCATCATCTGGTCTAATCCTTTCATTTTCCAGATGAAGAAACTGAGGCCAGAGAGGTTAAAAATTTGCCCAAGATTGAACAGCTAGTAAGTGTCAAAGCAGGGACTTAAGCCAAGGTCTTCTGACTCCAAGTGTAGACTTTCTTCTATACCTCGTCTTAGGTTCTGGAGATAGATCGTAGATAAATTTGGCTGGAGATGTATGCAAGGGACAAATGGGAGATCAACTTGGAAAAGGAGGTTGGGGCCAGATTATGGCATACCTTAAATGCTAATCTAGACTTTATGTAATAGGTACTGGGGAGTCATTGATGGTTTTTGAGAAAATTTTTTTAAAATGGCATTTTAGAAAGTTTAATCTGTTGAGCAACATGCAGAAAGGATTTGAGGAGAAAAGAGACTGGAGACAGAAGGCTTAATTAGGAAGATATTGTATCTTATGTTAGAAAGAGTGAGTAGGGGCAGCTAGGTGGTGAAGTGGATAGAGCCCTGGCCCTGAAGTCAGGAGGACCTGAGTTCAAATCTGACCTCAGACCAAACACTTGACACTTACTAGCTGTGTGACCTTGGGCAAGTCACTTAACCCCAATTGCCTGGGGTGGGGGGAAGGGGGTGAATGAAGCCAGAACTAGGGTGGTAGCAGTTAGAATGAAAAGAAAGAAGAATGTTATATAAGAGGAACTGACATAACTCGATAACTAATTAGATATGGGGAACAAGGGAAAGGGAGAAATAAAAAGAATTCTTGACATTCAGAAGTTAGGTGACTGGGGCAAGGATGGTACTTTTGACAGGACTTTGGAAGTCTGAAGAAACCAGTTTAAGAGGAAAGATGATGACTTGAGTTTTAGACATGTTGAGTCTGTGGCTAATGGAGGAACATCCATGGGGAAACGTCTAGCACCTCCTTGGATATACAAGCCTGTAACTTGGAAGAGAGATCATGGATGAAGATGTAAATGTGGGGATAATTCTCATTGCAGTTATGGATGAAACCACGGGAGTGGATGAATTTTTCAAGGGAAAGAGTATTAGGATAGTAACACAGGGTGATCACAGTTTGGGGACGAAATTAAGCCATGGAAAGAGCTAGAAGGATAATCCTAGAAGCATGGAGGAAAACCAAACTATTGTAGAAAGAGGAAATACTTTGAGAAGGAAAGGGGAGAGCAGCAGCTAGGAATCCTGACTTATGGGGCAAATTCATTTGGGAGTGGAAATGAGTGGCAGCATCTAACAGGGCTTGCTGGCACAGCCATAAATAAAATTGGGAGAGGGTGACCCATCTTTCTGAGACTGTGCCCCTTGCTGTTATAGTGATT